AAAAATGGATACTCCTTCCTAGCTATATTTCTCCCCTTAGCTTTTTTTATTATTCCACTGGTTCTTCCATTTCTCTCCTACCTCTTAAATTTTGGGGGTGGTGCAGAATTGGGCTCTTGGTTCTTTGTTCCTTTTACGCTTGATCTCATGGCTATTTGCTGGTGACCCCAGCTTTGAATTTATAGCCTAGATATTTTCCTTCTACTTCCAGCATATTTACATTTGGATGTATAGATGTTTCAAAGTAAACATATACAAAATTTAATACTTGCTCTTTATACCAAAAAATTTCACCTGTAACTTTTTCAGCTGATGCTATACCACCCTTCTAATGTAGTTGTTTGCTTGCAGTGGGCCTTCCAGTTGATTCTGACAAAGGCCAGAGTAGAATGGCCCCATAGGGTCTCCAAAGCTGTCATCTTTACATAAGTATACTGCCTTATCTTTCTTCCAGAATGGCTACTGGACTTGAACCATGAACCTTTCTGTTGACAGCTGAGCACAAACAGCTTAGAAATATCATTGTCTCCTGTTTCCCCTTACTATGAGAGTGCCCTCCATTAAGTCTCCTCGCACATTGACTCTGGGTGCAGTCATGTGGCTAGATTTGACCAATAGGGGATTAGAAGGTGTACTACAAGCAGAATCTTGACAGTGTTTAGAAAACTGGGGCTCGGCTCCAGGTTGCCATTAAGCGTTGAGTTCCCTGAAATCACTATGCAGTGAAGAAGCCTAACCTAGTCCTTTAGAGAGAGGCCATGTGGAGACTGTCCAACTTCCCAATAAGCAAGATAAGCTTGGTTTTCCTTGTGCTTACTTACAAATCGGTAGTGAAGTTTCATCACAAACGCATGTGTGAAATTGCTCACTACAGAGTAATTAGCACAAGCTTGGATTTACCTTGCTTATGGCAGCCAGTCCACCCTTGGCCATGTGAAGAGCACTGTTACCACACTTCAAAGCAAGCTATCCTTCATCCAATATACCAATTGAGCCACGCCAAGTGAACATGCATGAATTCCTGACTCACAAAATCAAATTACTTTTATGTCACTAAAAGTTTGGACAGTGTGTTACACAGCATGAACAACCACTCACATCAAACCTATCATTAAATCCTGTTGGTCTACCTCCAAGATGTATCAGTAACCCGACTTCTACTCCTCACCTGGATTACTGTGAATCTCTGAGCTAATCTACTGCCTGAGCTTCAGCCTGCCACCTTAAACTCCTAACAGTATCAGAACAATCCATTTAAAACAGGCCAATTC